CCTCGAAGAACATCTTGAAGTCGAGCAGGCCGAACATGCGTGGGTTGAGCTCGGCGCCCATGAAGAAGTCATAGATGGGACGGCCCGTCATGCGGTGCTGGGCGCCGCGCCACAGGGCGCTGAAGTAGGCCGTGAACGAGACGAGGAAGCCCGAGGCGATGGCAACGCTCATGATGGGGCCAAACTCGTCGACGAGGGTGTATAGGCGGAAGGCGCCCGAGGCGTGCAGCGCGAGCGCCAGCGCGATGGTGACGTAGAAGGACCACACGCCCGAGCAGTAGTAGTCGAGCTGGCGGCCGCCTAGGTGCGGCAGCGGCTTGCCCTTCGTCCACACGCCCGGCATGAGGAGGTAGCAGAGCGCCTCGAAGACGAAGAAGGTCCAGTAGATGGCCCACGCCCGCAGGCCGGGGAATGCACCGCGGCGCACGAGGCCTACCATGTCGCCGAGGAACGCGCCCCAGGACTGGCCGCGCGCCGGCAGCGGCAGGTGGCCGTCGTAGTAGGTCGCCCCGATCCACATGTAGTACATGAGCAGCGGGAAGCCGATCATCATGGCGAGCGCACCGCCCGACCCGCCAAATTCGAACTCCTCGCTGTCGTTAACGCGCGGGTCGCCCGTCGTGGCGCGGCCGTTAGCGGCATGGCCGTTGGCGACGTGGCCTTTGGCAGAGTGGCCGTTGGCAGCGTAGCCATTAGCAGCGTAGCCATTAGCAGTGTGGCCGTTGGGAATCGCCGCGTACCCGGCGGCTTCGTCTGAGTCGCCCTGACGGTCCGAGGCGGGCGTCTTGCGGCTGGCCCGTCTGCGCGCGCCGGGCGTCTCCACGAAGCCCGGTACAGGGGGCGGTTTTCTGGTCGCAGAAGGAGGTCAGCTTCGCAGAGCAATTGGGCCGGCGCGGCCGACGTACCGGGGCGTGTTGCCCGTCTGCGAGCGCGTCACGGTCATGATACTAGCGGTCGCGTGGGCGGACGCAGGTCAACGGCCGGCGGGGGTGGCCGATTGAGGTTGTTGATGTCGGCGCGGAAGAAATTAAAGGTGCCGGGACATGGCGCTTGGGGCAAGATGCTAAAACCTGCTGCCGCGCCCGCGTCACCCCATCCATTTCCGTTCGAGCCGTTCAGGCGAGTGTGGGGCCTCACGAATCGAGCCGCCGCGTGTGGCCTTTCTTTTGCGCTTCGGGACCATCTGCGGCGAGCAGTGCGACCCCGCCCAAGGCAATTGTGGGAGTGTTCCTCCTCCTCGCCGTAACAGGGGTAATCGCTATGCTGCGGGTTTCTGACGTAATCACCCACCCACTTAGTGTTTGCTTTCGAGTGAGGTTGAAGTAGTTTTGCGGCCTTTGACCGATCGGAATACCTGTTGCTGAAATCCGCTCTGTAGACGTCGGGGTTGCTACTCAAATGGCGCTGCCTTGAGCTCCTTGTTTTGTGTAGAGCTGTGCCTTCCCTAGCCAGGAACTCCCTCGGATACTGCAGCAAGACTCGTTTGTTTCTACCACTTGTCAGAAACAGCCAACTTGACCGTTGGCTGGCCAATTGGCCTTCAAATTCAATAGAAGCCTTGTCTCCGAGGCGACGTCGGGTCTACTGAGGCTTTCCGCGGCTCCGACGGCGCTTCCGGTCGTGCACGCCATGGGGCCTCGTTTTGTAGGAGGCGTACTCCGTACTGTGTGCGCTGTTAAAATACCCTTCACTTGCAACCCCGTTAATTTTCTTTTGTTTAACGACGGATTGGTATAACGAATGCTAGGAATGCTACTCTATGTGGATGATCGTTGACTTAGATACAAATTTCGGGGGTATCCGTAGGCAGTATCGTGGTATTCAGATGTGCATGTAAGATGGCCCAAACGCGGAAAATTGTTGTACCGGACAGATTGTACTGGGCGGGGTCCCGCCGTACATACACACATACACGCTGTACGGCGTGCTATGCCACTTCTTTAAGATGCCACATATACGGATTCGGGCAGGGCGCCTGCTGGCCAATGCTGTTAGCGCCGCTTCCCTATCCACCCATTCCCGCTCATAACCGCTTCAGCACATCCTCAACCACAGCTTCGGTTGTGGCGGTGCCACCCATATCGGGAGACAGTAGCCGGCCCTCGACAAGGTTCGCGTCTACAGCGGCGTAGATCTTAGCGGCGGCTTCCTCCTCACCCAGGAACTCTAGCATCAGGGCCGCGCTTCGCAGCGTCGCGATTGGGTTCGCGATGCCCCTGCCCTCAATGTCCGGCGCGGACCCGTGGCAAGGCTCCCCAATGGCGAAGCCGTCGCCTACATTGGCGCTGGGGACCAGGCCCAGGCTGCCCACGAGGGCGGCCGCACCGTCGCTGAGGATGTCGCCGTACAAGTTCGGCGCGACGATGACGTCGTAGTCGGCCGGCTGTCGGAAGAGCTTGTAGACCATGCTGTCCACGATCTGCTCTTCTACGCTGACGGCCTGGAACTTGGCGTCGGCGAGCGCCTTACGCGCAGCCTCACGAAACAGGCCGTCGGTCTGGCTGAGAACATTGCTCTTGTGAGTGATGGTCACGAGCGGGCGTTTGTGGATGCTCGGCGCACCCGTGTCTCGCACGCGCTGACGACGGAGAGCCAAGTCGCCCGCCACGCGTGCAATGTTGAGACTGGCCCGCTCCGAGATGCGCTTGATGGCCTCGGCTACCCTGCCATGGGCTGTCTCCATAGTCCGCTCTTCCTTGACGTAGAGGTCCTCAGTGTTCTCGCGCACGATAACGAGGTCAACAGGAGACCTGGCCGCTGCCACCGTCTTGACTGGGCGTACGTTGGCGTAAAGAGAGAGCCGCTTGCGCAGTGCGACGATAGGAGACGAGTAGCCCGCCGTCTTGACCGTGGGCGAGCTGTAGCCATTGGTGTCGTGGCACTGTTAGCATCGTCGCGACGGTGCGCCAGGGGCCCGGTGATTTTAAGTTGTGCGCATCGGTAGTTGGGCTCCGCACCTCACGGCGCCGAACAAGGCGCCATCGCACTCCTTATTGAGCGTTTCGACCGTCTTGTCTGGAAGCGCGGTACCTGTCCGCTTGAAGGTGTCAAAGCCGGCGTCGAGATCGACGAAGGTGAATTGGAGCTTCGTGGAGAGCGGGAGGGCTTCGAGGACGCGCCGGCCGGCGGGGATGACCTCGCGGCCAATGCCGTCGCCTGGGATCAGACCTGGAAGCGCGTTAGCGACCACGCGAGGCGGAACGCGGGGCGTGTCGGGGTTGGAATACCTATGCGGAGCGTTCTCGTGGCCGCCATCGGTCGTGTGCGAAATTTAGGAACGAAGGAAGGGAAAAGATAGTCGGGGTTTGCAGGGCCAAGGACCGAGGCCCCGATGGCCGTGTTTGTGCTGTTTGTCCTAGCCGAGGACACGACACGCCGCGCTTGAGCTTCCCCAACCTCTCATTGTCCGGTCTCTCCCCACGCCCTTTGTCTGCTTTTCCTGTCTTCGTACCGCGCAGCTCTGTCCCGCATCCAACGCTACCTACAAGCCCCCGCCCGTCCGCTATGGCGAGTCGTGGCTACGATGTTGTCGTCGACGTCGACACCGAGGTGCGTGGAGGCCGCATCTGCCTGCAACGAAGCTTCTAACCCGTAGCAGGGTGACCTCGGCCATACTGACCTTCAGGAAGACCTCGAGTTCCACTCGTCAAGTGCGCGCTGCCACGCACATTCTCCCGTCTGCCGGATGCTGTTTCTGACGCAGTGCTAGATTTCGAGAATCCCCAAGGACGTGGCAAGATCCCCCCGGATCAGTCCGGCTCCTTTCTAGGCGGCACCTCGTCCTCACGCGGTCCCGCGTCTTCAAAGCACTTCCTATGGAACCTGTCATTTTATGCCCAGTTTTTTGACGTAGACACCAACGAGGTGATCCGACGCTGCGGCGCCGCCGTCTTCCCGCGCGCCAACTTCCTCGATGTGCTCGAGGGGAATCCGGACCTATATGGCCCTTTTTGGATCGCTACCACTGTCGTCATCATCCTCTTCCTGACAGGCACGATTAGCCAGTATCTGGCGCACCAGGGCAAGGAGCACTTCGCGTACAACTTCAAGCTGTTGAGCGGTGCGGCAGGGCTCATCTACGGGTATACTGGTGAGGCCAGCGGATTCTTGACGCCGCCATTGTGCAGCGCTAATGCTTTCCAGGACTCATCCCAGTCGGACTATGGGGCACGCTCAAGTGGTTCGGCAGTGAATCTGCCAACCTTGTCGAATGCTGGGCCCTGTACGGCTATTCGAATCTCATCTGGATCCCAGTCGCACTCATCTCGTGGTCGCGAATCTCTGGTGAGTTGATCTACCGCAACAGTGCTCCGCCATGTGTCCCACATAGGTTTGACATTTGCCTTCATAGCTCTCAACTATGTCTTCGTCGCTGTTGGGTTCGCCGTTTCGGCGCTCTTCCTGTTCAGGAACTTGTATCCAGTTCTGAGTGCAACCGATGTGCGAACCTCCAAAATCCTCCTGATCGTGGTGGTTGCCCTGCACGCGGGTCTCGCTATTGCCATTAAAATCCTTTTCTTTGCGTAAGTACCCTTTGAAGCTATAAGTAATGTTGTTAGGGTTGACTGTCTCTTAGGCACGGCAGCCCGGCGGCAAAGGAGTCGCCGGATGACGACGACACCGATGACGAGGACAGGATCAAGTTCGCGAGAATGTTGTTTGGGATGTAATATCAGTTCCAATCGGGCAATTGTGCACGCATATCGACGGTAGTGGTCGGGTTGCATTGCGGGCTGTTTTTGTTTTGTACGATACTTCGATAGACAATGACGGTAGCATTGGTATGCGGTGATGAAGTTGGCACTGTGAAAGGCGCTGGATTTCTAACCTTTAGTTGCGTCCGATCTAGACCAGAGGGTATATGGTTCTGTGCATGTTCACTCTGAAAGGCCTAGGACAGGCGGAGAAAAGCGCTATGGACTGATGAGGAAATACGTTAGTGAATCAGAAAAGAAGAAGTTAGCATTATATTAAAAATACTGCTGACTTTTGTCTGATTCGCCCTTTTAGCTCAGTGGTAGAGCGTCGCACTTGTAATGCGGCGGTCAACGGTTCGATCCCGTTAGGGGGCAAGAATTACTCTTTTGCTAATAGGATCTACGCTCATGTTTTAAACCTTCCCGCCGCTGCTATTTAGAGCGAATCTTTACTTTTGGCTTGGTCGGGCGCGCCCGGCGCAATGGGATTTTGATCTTGTGGAGTCACGTGCTCGCGCGTGTATGTAGCCAACCAGCCTGGGCTCGGGACCCGCCTGCAGGTCGTTCTCTCTCGACGATCTCTACACCGTACGTATAGTATTCTACACACAACTGCAATCATGCCCCTGTGAATCCTCTCTTCGCCCCCTTCGTATCTTGGCATTTTGTCCTTCCGTGGATTTCACTCGAGATGGGCGCCACAGAATCGCGACCGCAAGCCCAACCGTCGCAATCACAGCAGCAACAGGCCGGCTGCCCCGTCGATCACAAGGCGCGCGAGGCCTGGTTGGAGAATGCCAAGCAGCAGCGGCAATTACATTTGCAAAGCTCTCCGCTTCCTTCTCCATCGGCCGCCGCTGAGGGTTGCGACTCGTCGAAGATCGATCTGCGGACCTCCCCCCCGGCCCTATCGCCTTCTCCGTCACAAAAGCTCTCCCGCGATGGCAGGCTAGGTACTGACCGCGAAGTATCTTCGATTCCGCGGACAAGCCCTTCAGAGGCAGCGTCGGCGGAGGCAGCGTCGGCGGCGGCAGCGGCGGCGGAAGCGGCGGCAAACGCGGAGCGGGAAACGGGCCGTGATACTCGCACGGGTAATTGGATATACCCCTCGGAGCATATGTTCTTCGAGGCTATGCGCCGCAAGAACTACGAGGCGCGGGCCGAGGACATGCGCACCATCGTGCCCATTCACAACGCCGTCAACGAACGGGCGTGGAAGGAGATCAAGCAGTGGGAGGAAGGCCGGGGCTCGGAAAAGTACGTTGCGCACATCGCTTCGCGACCTTGCCCCGTCCCAAGAGTGTACACGTTCTAACTCTTCTACGCTGTTGGTTGGGGCAGGTGCGGCGGTCCAAAGCTCCACTCTTTCAGTGGAACGTCAACGGCGCTGACGCCCAAGGCGCGTCTCAACACCTTGCTCGGATACCAGCCACCCTTTGACCGCCACGACTGGGTCGTCGATCGTTGCGGAAAGCGTGTCGAATATGTCATCGACTTTTATTCGGGGCGGGACGAACGGAGGCCCGGCAAGAGTTTGAACTTCTACCTCGACGTGCGACCAAAGTTGAATTCGTGGGAGGGCTGGAGGATGCGCATGGAGCGGCTTGTTGGACTCTAAGGTCTGGGCTTGTGTACGGCTTGTGCGTGGAAGCAAAATTACCATTTCTACGTGCTGGACCATATCACGTGCACGAGGATGTTGCGGAGCAGTTTAGAGCACTGGGCAGCATGTTGGGCTGAATGGGGAAGTGCTGTACGATAGGAACGTCGATTTGGAGGAGCTTGACGACGGCATGTGTGGCCGTCTCGACAGGAGCACCCCGACGTGGAGTAACTCGTCTCATTTCACATGCATAGATAACGACATCCCTATGGCGCTTCGGCGTCGTCGAGAATATACATACATATAAGCGCGACAGGAGATTAGATCTTGAGGAGACCGGCATGTTCCTCGTCAGATTCTGCTTCGGCCGTTCGCCAAAACTGCCACCGCCTCGCCGGCCCGCGACGTGCGCAAACGTCACGGTCGCTCTGATCATGCTCGTCCATGGTCCTCTCGCCATCGCCGAAGACGTCGTGGAAGAAGGTGTCGTAACTGGACCAGACGGCCGCGAAGATGGCCCCGCTCAGTTGGACCAGCCAGTCCGGACTCCGGCCGTCGGAGTCCTTGAACGCCTCCTGCAGCGCGAAGACGAGGGCGATGAACGGCCCCCAGAGGCTCAGGAATATGAAGGCGCCGAGCCTCTGCTTCTGCGTCGTGATGGTGTAGGGGCGGAGGGCGCCCAGGTACTCGCGGTACTCGGCCGGCAGGCTGCACTCGTCAGCGCCGTCGGTGATGAGCTTGAGGTAGCGCGCCGAGGGCTGGGCGTAGGACGGGTCCGGGCGGGAGAGGCGGCCGCCACTACCGGACGACGGGTCGTCGGGGTCCTGGCGAGGCGCGAAGAGGGTGTGGGCCTTGAAGGGGGGGACGTCGGGGTGCGTGCGGGGCACCGTGTCCCGGCCATGCTCCAGCGGGTAGCAGTCGACGAGGACATCGTGGTAGGCGGATCCGCCGCCCTCGGTCGCGATGATGTGGGCGTAGTCTTCGCTCGTGACTTCGTAGACGACGCCGACGAGGCCCTTGGTCCAGCGGCGCTCCCCCTTCTCCTTCTCCTTCTCCTTGCCGCCGTCGTCGCCGCCGTCGCTGTTGTCGCCGCCGTCGGCCCGGCGCCGCGCCGTGTTGGCGAAGCACGGCTCTGTGTACGGGATGCCGGGCAGGTCGAAAGTGAGGCGCAGCTCGGGCACCTGCACGTTGACCTGGGCGAGCGGGCGCACGCCGCGCCGGTCCTGGAACGTTTCGTAGCACAGGTTGGAGCCGTACGCCAGGTAGAGCACGGTCGGCTCGGGCTTGGCGGCCGGCCCGTCGGCGCGGGCCCGGTCCAGGCGCGCGGGCGAGAGCAACGGGAGCGGCGGTGGCGGCGGGAGGTGCGCGCCGCGGGCGCGGCATCGGGCCAGCCGCGCAAGCTCGCCCAGGGCGGCAGCGCCGCGCGCGCGCAGGAGCGATCGGGTGCTCACGTCATCCACGGCTTCCGGGTGCTGCATTGCGAGCGCTCGTACCTTGGGGCAACGATGGAGCCACGATGTGTATGCGACGATATGTATGGCCGGGCGAGACGGGGCGCCCTTTTATGGGCCGGCCTCGACGCCCGCTTCTCTCGCGGAGATTGGTAATGAGAGTCGGCGCTCGGGTACATCTCCCCAGGGCCGTGACCGGGGTCGGCCAATCCGAAACCCCGACAGGCACGTGCCCACGCGTTTTGGGAAACCTGCTGCAGCCGGACACTGTTCCTCCTCTCAAGGTATGCATTTTATTACCGTGTATTATTCTTGTCTAATGCTGCGTGCTATGCGATTATGAGTAAAGTTGCTAGGTCGCCAAAGAAAGCGGGCGACGAACAATACAGGATTACCAAGGGGCATGGCCCCTCCACGTCCTCTCCTCTCCTGCTCCCAAATGTTTCTGCCGCTCAATTACACCGTACATATTATGCTGCAATTGCTTGCAGCGCCCAAGAACATCTCGTTGCCCGGTAACCCATCGTAGTCTAAGCAGTGGCCCAATTGAAACCCGAAAAATGAAATTGACCTGCCTGCAATACCGACGAACTCCCTGCGCCGCTCTATATGCAAAATGCTCTCCTCGCACCCATGGTTGTCGCGCGTTGGATCTGCTTCACCGTGCCCCATTTACCGATCGGCCGCCCCAGTTACACCGCGGCGGGCATGGCACCTTTCCGGTCGGAAAGGTTCCTCCGGTCAAAGAACACCATGGCAACGCTCGTGACAACGGCGACGCCGGCCATTGCGATGCCAAGGGCGTACGCATCCTTCAGACCGTCCATGTAGCTCCGGATAACGCCGGGAAGCACATCCGAAGGGAAAACGTCGCGCAGTTCTGTGGCTCCCGTGGCGACTACGAGACCGGGATTAACGCCTGGCGCGTTCTCCGGGATCGACTCTACCAACTGGTTCGCGAACAGGGACTGGCCCACGGAGACGAAAATCGCGCCGGAGAGTGTTTGGAAGAAGATAATGATGGCCGTAGCGGACGACACGTCGACCGCATCGACGACAGCCTGGCCGACGATGATGGGAACCTGTATTCCCAGGCCGATACCGATGCCGGACAGCGCCTGGTAGCCGATCCATTCGGACGACGGAGTACCGGCGTCGAGCGTGTAGATGAGACCGGAACCAATGGTGGCAAGGACGGCGCCAACGACCAGCATCGGGATGTAGTGTCCCGTCACGGTGATGACGCCGCCGGACACGATGGTCAACAGAGCGATGCCAAGAATGTAGGGAAGGTTCCGGATTCCCGAGTCCGCCGCGGAGACGCCCGATACGACCTGGAAGTAGATCGGTAGGTAGTAGAGCAGCAGCAGAAATGTGCCCGAGTTGAAGAACTGGAACACGTTGAGGAAGGCAACTGTCTTGTTCTTGAGCAGCCGCGGCACGAGGAGCGCACGCTCATCTAGGTAGATTTCGACGCCGACGAACACGGCTAGGATGAGAACGAAGCCGACGAGGGTGCCGATGACTTCCGCATCTCCCCAGGACTTGGTCACGCCGCCCCACTGAAGGGAGAGGATGAGGCATACGATAGCAGCCATGAGGAGGAAGGTGCCGGCCGGGTCCATTTGAAGAATCTTCTCCTTCCATGTGGCTTGCACTGGCTTAGCAGCCTTTGGAGTTTGGAATAAAGCAAGAATGATGGCGGCAGAGAGGCCGCCGATGGGCAGATTGATGTAGAAACTATATCGACGTCACGGTTAGCCGGTGCCGCTAGATTAGTCGTTCGACGCAAGCACTTACCACCAACGCCAAGTAAGGTTGTCTGTGAAGACGCCGCCGAGGAGCGGGCCAATGACGCTGGCAACGGCGTAAACGGCACCAAGTAGGCCCGTGAGCGCGCCGGTCTGCTTCGGAGGCGCGGAGAAGGCAATGATGGTGTACGCTCCAGATGCGAGACCGGCACCACCGGCACCGGCGATGGCCCTGCCGACGATGAGTGTGGTGCTGTCTTGGGCCACCGCTAGAGACAAACCAGTCAGTCTAGCCTCCACGCGTCGGCGAAGCAATTGACTCACCGCAGATCAAACTTCCGACTTCGAACCAGAAAATTGCTTGCAGGTAGGCCCACTTCAGGGGAAAATATTTGTACGCCTTTCCCCACGTGGACTGGAAGGACGCAATGGTCAAGAAGAAGGCGGACCCGTACCAGCCGACCTGGTCCAGACTCTGAAACTCGTCCGTGATTCGGGGGATAGCGGTGGCGACAATTGTCATGTCCAGCGCGACAAGAAATATGCTCAGAGCGAGAGCTACCAATATCA